ACAGAAAAATACCAAATTTTAAAATTAAGTCTTATTCCGGCCTGCGGTGAACTGATTAGATTTTGAGCACAGTTGGCACTTGGGGGTACTTTATAGGGGGTCATTTTTATATTTTATGGAATATATTTGTTATTTACGGTTGTAGAAGAAAATTCTTTGAATAAAAGTTAATTCAAATAATATTTTCTACAATTTTTGTTTCATACAAAATTTTGCTAAAATGGTTCGTATTCCAGAAATTTGACAAAATGTAAAAAATTCAAATTTTTATGAAAATTATTTATATAAAAGTTATTTGTGATATAATTTTCTATAATTCTTGTCTTATACATAATTTCTTTAAAGTGGACCGAATTCGAGATATTTGATAATTAGTGTAAATTTAGAATTTTGAAGAAAACTCGAAAGCGGATAAAGAAAAAACATTATTTGTTAAATTGAAGCGTTATTCCGACCTGTGGTGAATTGATTAGATTTTGGACAAAGTCGGAACATCTGGGGACGGGGTTACTTTATGGGAGGTCGTTTTATATTTTATTGAATATGTTATTTATGTTTAGCGAAGAAAATTCTTTAAATAAAAGTTACTTTTAATATTATTCTCTATAATTCTCACTTTTTACAATTTTTTCCATAAATGGACCGTATTCGAGAAATTTGAAAAAAGGTGCAAATTATGATTTTTAAGAAAATTGGTAAACTAAAAGTTGTTTGCAATATCGATCTCTATCATTTTTGTTTTTTACAATATTTCTCTAAAATGGACCGTAATAGAAAAACTGGAGGAAAAGTGTAAAATTAAATTTTTTCAGTGTTTTCATTTGCAGTGAATATATATCGAAAAATGTTTCGAGTTAGATGTATGTAAATGTATATATTTAGTTTATCCTTTAAACATTTACAGAGTTGCTGCAATAGGTTGTACAAAATAATCGGGAAAAGCCTGTAATAACTAGATAGGAAAGTCATGTGTTGGACACATCAGATTTTTTCGTAAATGGTTAATTTAAGGTCAATAAAATGAATTATTACTATTACTTATTATTGACCGTCTTCACCGTCGTCAAACATGTTTTGCTTACAACTGTCAACAGTATCAATCGCTTCACTGCTTTTTAAATCATGATGGATAAATAATAAGGCCTACATAAGCATAAAAACATAATCTATTTGCGCCACCACAAACAAGAACAAAATGAAATTTAATAAACAAACTCAGTTGATCAACTGCTGGGTAACGTGTAACTACCTATAAAAACACTAAAAAAACACAAAACAAAACAATGATAACTAACAAATAAGCTCAGACTGGATGAACAAAGAACTACTTAATAATATACGAACCAAAATAGATTCAAATGTTTATATTACATTGTCCTAAAAGTTTTATTCTGGTTCATAATAGTATATTATTAAACGAGCAATTTATGCGGTAGCCATTATTCACGAAGGATGACGTTTACGTCCCGAGTCGTAGGCGAGGGGCGCAAGTCACCCGAGTGAATAATGGCCATAAATTGCGAGTCTAATACTATACTTTGTCCACGACCATTATGGTTTCTTTATTAAATAAAAGTTAAGTGTAGAATGGAAAGTTTTTATTAAACATAGATAACTAACTGTTGTTTTTTCCACTTTTCAATTTTCGATTTTCGATTGTCGACTTTCGATTTTCGTTTTACGATTTTTCGATATTTCGATTTTTCGATTTATCGATTTTTTGATTTTTTGATTTATCGTTTTTTTGATTTTTCGATCTAGAAAATATCGTTATGAAAAGTATCGCCTATCTTTAGTTATCTACTGGAATGTGCCAGAATTACAAAAGCGTGAATTATCATAATTCACTCCGTGATATATGGGTACTATATGCTTTTAGTTAGGAGGTAGAATATTGATTTATTATTAAGTGGTCGTGGACAAAATTATTTAAATACGGTCCCTATAGGTTCGATATTCTAATGCAGTGCTCCGCAACCTTTCCTCATCTGAGGCACACCAAACTGCTCCCTAGAATTTCGTGGCACACCAAAATTTAAAATATATTTATAGCAGTGGCGTAGCTAGGTCGGGGGTCAGTTCACTCCATGTATACTAATTATTTATGGATGTCCAAACTACCTTAGTTTTTTTTATTGTTTTAAAATGTGAAGAAGCCCCTTTCAGATTTGGGGCATCAAAATTTTCACTCAGGACATAATACATATTTTTTTTTTATTTTTTTTTATTATTCAGATAGAATGAAAAATACAAATAGGTACATACATGAGAACTATACTAAATACTAGGTAGGACAGGTAGGTATACTAAATTTACTTCTGTTGACACGTCAATAGTAATAAATATTTTGACATGATGATGACTGATTAATGTGATACCTGCGCTTGCTTCGTTGAACACAAAAGTTTTATATTCGGCTCAATTTTAGACAGCGCAACTCTCATTTCTTGGTCAAGATCTTTTAAGCATGACCGTTTATCATTTTTAATTAATACAAGCGTTGAAAAACTTTGCTCACATAAATATGTTGTGGAAAACGGAAGTAGTGTGAAGATGGCCTTGTCGGTGATGCGTGGATATTCTGTCTTGATGGAAATCCAGAAAACATCTAACGGAACTTCGTCGAATTTAAGTTTTAGGGTCATATCATTACTTAATTCTGTGAACTCCTCTCGAGTTTGCAATGGCAGTGCTTCCGTGGAACTTATTGCATTGGTTGCGAAAGGATTTCGAATCCAATTGTATTGTTCCGTGTTGATAGAATGGAAATAGTATTCAAATTTTTGTTGAAGCATACTTGAATGTTGTTGGGCCAAATCCACAATCAACTGCTTGTTTTCGATCGTACTGTGGTTGGTCCTGTGATACATTTCTAGACATCCTTTTTGCAACTGTTCCTGCCAAAGTTCAAGTTTCTTTTTGAACCCTTGTAATTTATCGGAGCACGTCAATATATTTTCATTCCGTCCTTGCATTTTTTTATTAAGTTCATTCAGATGTTCGAATATATCCGCCATGTATGCAAGTTTGGCTATCCAGTATTCATCATGAAGGTGCTGGCATAGATCGTACATATCTTGACTTGAAAGAAACTCACGCACTTCGTAGCGAAGTTCAAACAGTCGAGCTAAAACTTTTCCCCGGGATAACCAACGAACTTCTGTATAAAACAGTAAGGATTCATGTTCGCTTCCCATTTCTTCACAGAGTATTCCAAAGATTCGCGAATTTAAGGCTCTCGATTTAATTATGTTTATGATCTTAATACATTCATTCATTGTGATCGAAAGCTGTTCGGGCAAATTTTTGACCATCAATGCTTCTCGATGTATGCAGCAATGTGTAATTTGTATTGACGGATTTTTTTGTTTTACACAAGATACAAAACCTTTCTTACTGCCCATCATTGCAGCAGCACCATCTGTACAAATAGCAACGCAATTGGTCCACTGAATATTATGTATTTTAAAAAAATTATCAGTTACTTGGAAAATTTGTTCACCGGTAGTTCTCTCTGGAACCTCCTTACAAAATAAATAATGTTCTTTAATAGAGTCCTCGTCAACGAAACGTACAATAGCCATCAGTTGTGCTTTATTTTTAATATCGGTTGATTCGTCGATTTGAAGCGCAAAAATTCCAGCCGAAATGATTTTTTTAATTAGTGTTCCCAAAATATCACTTGACATATCTTGGATACGTCTTTTAACAGTATCGGCCGACAAAGAAACTTTACTCACGTCCTTAACTTCGTTTGGCCCAAGCATAAGTCTAACAATTTCCATGCATGCTGGTTTAATAAGCGTTTCACCGATAGTGTGCGGTTTTTTTTGTTGTGCAATTAATTTTGCAACAAGGTAGCTTGCTTCTAATGCCTTTTCAGAAACCGTAACCGCCGATTTCATAAACTGCTTTTGTTTCTTATTTTGATCCAAGCGCCGTTGGAAAAATTGAATGTCTTTTTTGACGCAACTGGGATGATTTGTGATCAAATGACGGTTTAGTTTGCTGGGTACCATTGCTTCATTTGACAACTGTTCACCGCAAATGACGCATTCAGGCTTTGGAGCCGCTTCGTCGCCACACCAAGTGAAACCATATCGAAGGTAGTCTTGATTGTACTTCCTTTTCAGCACCTTTTTTGCTCTTTTTGCAGCACTTATGCTGGAGCTTGTGCTAGGTTCTTCGTCATCTGCTCGTGATTTCAGCAAAAATTTATCCATATTTGAAGCACTATAGTTATTTATAAAAGTAGATACTGCAACAAAACTTAGTCTAGTTCACTTATTTATAAGGCACAAGAATTTATTTATATAGCAATTCACTATTTATTTCACTCTACGATTTATTTGTTTGCCCGCGTATTTATCTGATTCACTTGACTATTCGACTCTCTCTGAGTCTCTGAGCGACGACAGGCGCGCTTATATAGGCAGTGGCGATGTTCAGGAAAACATCGAGTCGCGCCTCGAACGGCACGGATCTTTCTAGTTTAGTCGCCTTCGAGAATCAAGCCGCCGCGCCGCGCCGATAGACGGATAGACGTTTACCATCGGCGCTGTTGTCAGATTGCTTTATTTTTCGCGGGTCTCGCTACAATACGAATCTGATTCGTATTGTCTGCAAGAGCGGCACACCTCAAGTCGGCTTACGGCACACCAGTGTGCCGCGGCACACCGGTTGCGGAGCACTAATCTAATGTAATGTAGTGTTCGTCTCGTCCGGCGGTACAATAAAATGTTACGAGCACTTTTTGGGAGGAAGGGGACGCTTGTCGGGTCGCCGGAAAGTAGTTTACACAACTTGGCAAACAGGCAGGTATAATTCAACATTTGAATTATTTCGCAGAAGTGCATCTAATCGCCATCTATTGACAACTTAGTTAATTTGTAGTTTTTGTTATGAATTTCCTGGCGTGCAAATTCCGTCTTAATTACTGAGTTATAGGCCCTTGAAGGAAATACCTTCGTGATTATACTTTATTATACAATTTTTTGCAGGAGTTTTGAAAACCTGACCACAAAACAACAAGAGGAAATCCTAACCGCCCATTTACTCCCCACTAATCAATCGGATTCGCAACACGTTAATAAAGCTCCGCCATCGGGACCAGTAACCATTCCAGATATAAATCATTTACAAAACCACAACCAGGACGTGGAGACCAATCCGTTCTTTTTCGGCAACTTCACGGACAATTACGTCAATGCCGAACATTTTAGCATGAGATATAATCCGGATTTGTACAAAACGGAGAGCAGCAATGCCCAAACTGCGGACATAAATAACAGATATTCCGGGAATTTACTGAAAAACGAAAACGGCCATACTCAAGAGGCAGGTAAGGATAAATGGAAAACTGTTTTTGCTATGCGCTTTACACAAGCCAAAAAAAGTGTACAGTGCTGTTCATATGTATGGAATAAATTCATTTTTAGCGGTACTTTTGAGATAAAAAACCTGTGACAGACAGATTTCTATTCTTAATTTGACAATTTATAGTATGAAAATATTACCCCCCTCATGCACCCCTCTGAATTATGAGCATATAAATAATAATGAATACCCCTCGAATTTTAAATAAAAAAATGGGTTCAAGTGCTACCTTGTTTAAAAGGGATTTTAATTCTTTCTTCAGCAATATATATTTTTTTTAAATTTGGTGCAATCGTAACTGAGAAAATTAAATATGAAAATGTTAAATTATGATAAAAGGTGCGTTTTGTTGTTCCATTCCGGAAGTAACAGAATGAGTGGACACAAGAAAACGGATTGGTGAGGGGATGTAATTGACACTTTTGACATATGGAATTCTTAACTCTTAACCTTAAAAATTGTTACTTATGTCTTATGTTTATTTAGGATTTATTACTTTTATGTTAAATTTCATTTTTTTTATTTTCCTAATCGTAAATGAAGTCATGAATCGAGACTTGATATTGGCTAATTTGATAGCGATGGTTATTAACCAACAAAGCAGAAAAGTTATGTTGGAATTTTCAGAAGACATCTATGCCTTGGATGGGAGAATCCTCGAGCAAGTCATCATTATGTCTGTTGATTCTTATGATTATGATACTTATTCATTAATAACTCATTGTTGGATGTTTTAGGATGGTCAACCGGAATATCCCAAAGTGCAGAAACTTTTATGAAGAAGTAATTCCTTCCCTCCATTTAGATACTTTCAAATCACATTTTCGCATGTGTCGATCAACATTTGAAGTTATATTAGGGCACCTCTCCCAATACCCTGAATTTATAAAACGTGATGAGAATATCTATGGTGGTCAATCACAATTATGTGTGGAAAAAAACTGTACTCATTGCCATATGGACTCTAGGAACACCTGAAAGTTATCGCTCAATAGGTGATAGGTTTGGAGTGGCCAAAAGTACAGTGCATAATTCAGTTCATGTTACTGTCAGTGCGATAATAAAATACTTGTGTAAATTGATTATTAAGTGGCCTACCATCCAACATAGAAACATGTTGTCACAAATTTTTTCTAGATATGGCCTCCCACATGCTATTGGAGCATTAGATGGGTGCCACATACCCATAAGGAAACCATCAGAAAATGGTATTTATTATTTTAATAGAAAAAAATATTCGGTTGTACTACAAGCAATATGTGCTCCAAATTTAATGTTCACTGATGTAGACTGTAGGTGGCCAGGAAGTGTACATGATTCTAGGGTATTTCGTACATCTGAAATTTACCCATTGGGTGAAGAACTATGTGCTCCCCATTTTTTCATTGTAGCAGATGCAGCCTATCCTTGCAAAAATTGGGTGATTACCCCTTACAGAAATAATGGTTTATTGACACAACAACAAAAAAATTTTAATTTCATACTATCAAAAACAAGAGTTAAAATAGAAAATTCTTTTGCCTTATTGAAGGGCAGGTTTCGTAGACTCCTCAATTGCCTTGATATGGTTGACATGCAACACATTGTAAATACAGTGATAGCTTGTTGTGTTCTCCATAATATATGCATAATGCATGAAGGTGATGTTCATTCTTTTATTGAAGAAGGTATGAGACAAATAGACCTTCTAGAAAATAGGGCAGAGAACTATGATATTGGGAATGATGATGGTCAACAGATAAGGGAGGCTCTCACACAATATTTGTGGGATCACGCTCCAAGAGCTCAGAGAATATGAGATTAACAAAATTTATATTTCATTATTTTTCTTGGTACTTATTGTAATGAAGTTCTGTAAGCATTTTAAAAATAAAACCAAAATTAATCAAAAGTGTTTAATTATCTTTCACAAAAATTAAACTTTTTTTCACAACCATAATTTCTAAATCAAAATAACTCATTTCTATTGTAATATAACGAAACATATATCCTATTCAGAATAAAAGAAAACTAGAACGAAAATAAAAAAACAGACATTCCATCTTAAAACACAAATCATTTTAACAACTTTGTCATGTTATTCTTGTTTGGTTTCCTTGAGCATTGATATCAGTTCAGAGACCATTTCTTTGTTTTCCTCATGATGCTGCTGCATCATTTTCATCCTTTCGGCGTCTCTTTTTTTCATATCCTCTTTGTAGTCTTTCAAGAATGCAACCATTTTAACTCTGGGGCTAGTACGACATCTTTTGGAACGATTAGGGGATTCATCACTTGCCCCATTCTTGGTACTAACATCAGTTATTTCTGGAATGTAATGGATAACGTTTAGATATTGTCGAAGAGGAGCCTTCTTCAGAATCAGAGCTCTGACATTTATTTTTCCCAGTCATTGGTATTTTAGAATGTATAGCATTGATAATGTTTATTCCCAAACTAGAGCAGGAAGCTATGGGGGTTATATTTGGAGTTTGTCCCATATAATTTTCCATTATTTCATAGTACTCCCAATATTTGAAAGAATTACCACTTTTATTATTGTGATCTCTAACCTCTTTATATTTATTTATCAATGTCTTCATTCGGTTCTGTATTTGTTCTGGTGTAAAGTTGTGTCCATGTTCTACCATTTTCTTTGAGATATTTTTATAAATTGCAGTGTTTTTTATTTTTGGATCTACCAACTCCATTTTGAAAGTGGTACATTCATCCATCATAAGTAGAGTTGTACTTAAATCCCACAACCGTCTTTTCTTCAACATATCTGTACAAGAGGCATCTTCTACAAGTTCATCTTCTACAAGCTCATCTTCTACAAGCGCATCTTCATCTAGATTAGCTGTACTAATGTCTACAGGATTTGCAGGCTGTTCTGTAGATAGGGTATGATTCAGCTGATCGACAAAAACACCTTCCAGAAGTTCATAGCCGCCTACTAAAAAATAAAATTAAGTAGGTAATGAGAACCCCTCACTGGCTTCAGATATTCAAAACTTACTTTGTGTATTGTACCGAATATATTGACCATCATCCGTTTTGATGATTTCGCCGTTTAGAGGTTCTCGATTCATTGTGAATTGGCAAAAACTTTAAAAAGCCTTCTTTGTTTTCGAAAATTGCTGATTTAGAGGTTAGAGTACAAATCATAGAACACAAATATATCCACTTTCATTTGTCATTCCGTTTTTCAAACCAAGTCGTAAGAGGGAATGAAAACAAGAATAGGAATGGGTTTGAATGCCCAACAAAACGCTTACAATGCTCAGAACCGGATCGGGTTATGGTACAACAAAACGTGCCTATTGTCTCCATCGAAAAAGTTTACGTATAATGAAACAAAAAAATGTTTCATAACATTTAGAGTGTATTTTTCAATTTATTTTACAATTAATTCTTATGTTAAAAATTTTGTTTTTATCCCACAGATAAACTACAAAAATTCGGATCAAAAACGAACCTCCTAGAAGTGACATCTTCAGAACACGTCTCCAGCGAAAACGAAGACATCCTCAAATCGAAACCATCGAAGACAGAAAAATCCGAAGAAAAACCCGATTCGAAACCGGAAAAACCCGACGCCAAAACGCCTAAGCTCAGCATCAGAAAAAAAGTATCGATTCACTTTAAAGGAAAAAAGGAAAAAAACAAACTTTCGTACAGTTCCGATTCGTCCATTCCGAAAACTCCGAACGAGCGAAGGGGTTCCATTTTCGACGCTCGTTTTAACGCTAAGACAACGAATCAAAAGATTCCCAGCGTCGATACACAAAAATCTGTCGTCGATGGTAATGCGGAGCCGAAGACGCCATCGAGTTCGGATAGCAAAAATAGCAGCGACAAGAAATCGGATAAGAAAGAATCTGGTAGCGAGAAGAAGTCTAGGAAGAGCGTGTCGGTCAGCCCGGATAGGAAGCACGTACACGTAAAAGAAGATGGTGAGTATATATATTTAATTATTAGTGTACAGCTATTTATGTAGGTTTTTCATAAACTACTTGTAATAAGGAATACCTTCTAAAATAAGGCTTTATTTAGCGAAAATTGACATACAAAATAACACATTGACAATATACATTAAACCTTAGAAATAAAGTCCATAGTATAAATACTATTTAGGCAAATTCACTACTTAGTTTACTATATTCGCCCTAGCGTAAAGAGTACATAGTAGAAACAAAATGAGCTGGCCAATTGCGACTCAGGCAGAGGCCAAAATCAAGAAAAAGAAGATAGTGGTTATGGTTAAATAGTTACTGTTGAACAGTAGTAATATTTCAAATAATCTGGTGGTCGTCTTGCTCTCACAGTTATTTCACTATTTTCAGTCAAATTAATAGCTTCGCTATTCGTCGATTTTTGAGTATATTCATATTCAGTTGTAACATCAACAACAAAGGGCTGAGGATTGTTTGAATTTGCAGTTTCTTAAGATCTCCACTACCCTTGGGAAGAAGGTTTATATTAACATCAATGTTTTGAGGATCCGTTAGTTGTGAATTTATAATTTCGTCGTGATCTTCACTATTATTATGAAGTAGTAGACTTGTATCTCCGCGTGGTGCTAAATGTTTTATGGATATGGTAGTCTCCCTTCCATCTTTGAACCTTATTAAAGCATAATACGGATTTGCTTCTATTAATTCAGCCTCCTAGACTAAGGGATCATATTTTGTATTTCTAACATGTTTTAACTAACACCGGACCAGGAGTGAGTAACTATGATGGTAGAGCATTACCAAAAGTTGATTTTCGAGTGTATGCAGATCGAATAGAACGTTTCCGCTAGTCGAGTTACATATATTTGAGAACGTGTCACTGACCGTATTCTTAGCTCCTGGCCTATATATAATATCGTAACTGTAGCAGGATAACTCTAGACGCCATCTTCATATATTTTCATTTTTAATTTTATAAGTAAACATAAAAGATACTGACTTTTGATCAGTAATTAATTTGAAATATCTTCCAATCAAAAAATGCCTCCATTTAGTGACTCGACGATGGCTTGTGCTTCTTTTTCTACCGCTCTTAGATAGCATTCGGGAGAAAAATGCTACTGGCCTACCAGATTGACTTAAGCAAGCAGCTATTGCATGATGTGATGCGTCAGTTCTACTACAAAAATAGCATCATTATTAATAGATATGACAACTGCATTAGATATATCTTTCTTGATATTTTTAAAGTCAATAATTGCATTTTCTTCAAGTGGGAATGATTTAGAATTGACAAGACTGTATATTTTTTCAGAAAATCGTGGTACCCACTTTGAATAATAAGAAAACATCCCAAATATTATTTGCAAACTCTTAGCTATCGTAGACACTGGTAATTTCACTAAAGATTCTAGTTTTGATGGATCTGGCCTGATATTTCCATTTTTTATTAAGATTTATATTACCCTACAAAAGTTACGTTTCGCTAACGCAAGATGGAGTTACGATAGCACAAAAATTGTTGAAAACTAGCGCTAAACATTATAGTTTTCTGTAACTACAAATATTGCTAATTAGAGTTGGTGCGTGAAGCAAAAGAGGGCAACACTTGATATAACTATTACAGAGACGGAACAATATACGTTGTTGCCAAGTATATACACAGAGGTATCTACTGTTCTAGTTGTCACGTAAATATTGTTAAGTGGCGGAGGGTAAAAATCGCGTAGTTTAGATTTTCTTTGGCATTTTATAGATACAATAATTATTGTGTTAGTTCTCGAAATAGTAGTTTTTGAGTTTTAGATTTAAATGGCTTAGGTTGTCTAAAAATCGTCCAAGGAAAACGAGTTATTCTCAAAAAGAAAGTTTAATATATATGTTTCTAAAGTAAAAATTATCCTAAGAGAAATAATAATATTTTACCGATTTTTTATTTATATACGCCGATATCATAAAAACTGTGCAAAAATTTGAAAAAATGTATTCTTGTTTATTACTAGAGAAAAACTTAAGGATTCTAACGATTGTAAAATCATAATTTTATCTAAAATAATAAGAGAGATAATTAAAAGACACTAGGGCAATGTCAGCATTTTGACGAGCGTACCGTAGATTCACAATGAAACCTTTTCGATGCTGGACCAAATCAATTTTGTATATATAATACGTACATCGGCCTAATCGGTTAACTATTCAGCTGGGTTACGTTTAAATTTATATGATTAGTAGTCTGTACGGTGTACACAGCCAGACTGAGCAAAATTCAAGATACAGAGAAAAATATTATTTTTATTTTGTAATATGATTTCAAGGAGAATTTTACTTTTGAAATATACATATATTATATTTTAAAAACTTTACCAATAAGTATTTTCGGTTATTTTAATACTGCTTACATACGGTTTTAAAACTGGCACCTACTTCCCAATCTGGAATGTGATAATCTTACTGTGAAGTGATTTTTATGTTGGTAATATAAACAAACAGTCTTTGGGTGCATACGCCATGGAATATCTAAATTCATTAGTCAGTTCGTTTTTTGCTTTAATTTCTATCAGACTTAATTTTTAAAAAGATAACTTCTTGTGAAATAATTTTTTTCCCATATTAACCAATTTAAATTATTAGTGTTTTAAGTTTTGGACATTTATTTTATATTTTAGTTGTTAAGTTATTAAGAACGCATATAAAATGCCCCGATTATTTCCGAAAAAATCTCGTTGGGGTTGGAATTTACCGGAATTTACGAAAAACTGATTTGTAAGTTTTTGAGATATTATTTATTATTTATATATGTATAACGTTCGGTCATAGAAATATATTATTAAAGGTTAAAAATCTATAGATCTAGAATTTTTTCAATATTCAAACAAACACGGTGTGTGACAAAATTCGCATAATTTTAAATTATTACAAAACATCGAATCAAAATATTGTGAAACAAAATATTAAGAGACAAACATCAAATAAAGAACTTTTTAATTATTTTTATGAATCAGGCCAATCAGCTGACTGGAGCCATAATTTTAAATATATAGTTTATAAACCATACACAGTATGATTAAAAAAAGAGGAAAAACGTTATTTTTTTCTTTTCTCGACTTATATTTTATGATATATAGGTAGTTTATAAAGCTTATACAGTATGATTCAAAAGAAAACAAGAAACACGAGAAAATATTACTTTACCTTTCTTGACTTATATTTTAAAATTTCGACGGTCAAATTGCCGTAATTTTTTACTTTACCTACTTTGAGTTTACTAATAAAGTGTAAAAATTATATATGCGCTGGCTATAACTAATTAATGAAACATAAAACTTGGTAATAACAAATATATATATGAAAAATTAAACTCGTTTTCTTACCATTCCAGAGGAAGAGTTTTTCCTCACATATTCGTAACGAATATGTTGAAAAAATTAAAGGATTTTTATTTTAATCACTTTGCCGTAGAGTTAGTAGATAGTAGACACGAAAGAAATATGCCACTTAGAAATGTTACTGAATAAAAATAGCATAAATCTTTACTATTTTGTTATAATTCGACTATATATGTTTTAATTTAGGTATACTTTTAGTTACAGTAAGGATAGGATTGCACTAGTGTTCTACTAAATGAAGAGAGTTATATTATAATTTTTTATCTATTCCATACTTTTTCAGTAGTTTTTATGCATTTATTAGGTATAATTCTCTTAAAAAGTAAATTTAAATTTGTTGATTGTAAAATATTAAATGGTTTCTGGTATTTTTAGTGATAGATATAATGAGAAAATGAAATGTTTAACGTTGCTGATTTAAAATAGTCTGAAAAACAATTTTCATGCGTTAAATTAAATTATGTAAACAATTTAGTTATAAATAATTATAAAACGTTGCAGCATGTTTTGCTTGTTAAGCGTGATCATAAAATATGTATTTTTTTTAACAATTTGAATTTTATTTAATTGTATATTTTGTTTGTAATTTTAATTATTAGTACGCGCTCATACCTACATAATTAGAACTTTCGGGTATAATATATTTGCTCGTACATACAATATGTTAACTTTCCCATAAATGCACTTAAAGAACGGTATATAATAAGCGATGCTATTTTTTTGACAGAGGTAGAACAGTCCGCGCCAGCCCACTAGTGACAGAGGTGTAACGATGCGTCTAATCACGGCAGGCAGTCAGCCGATTTACGAGAATCTCTCCTTATTTTTTTTTTCAAATGCAAATATAATTAAGTGGCTCATCTTTATTTCAAAGGATTCATGTGTTAACGCACTCTATGTATCACAATAAAATTGCCAAATTTCCTTTTTTTTTTCTATGAGCGTTTGCATACCTACATACGACAATCACGTCCCGCCTTCCATTATTATTTGTAAACAGTCAGTGCCCAGAAATCTTGTTCGTGGATTTAATGACAGTTCTCCATTTTTTTCTTCGATTCCTCATAATTCATCAATGTACATAAATAATTAAGCTACACTGTTGTCTGTATAACAGATAACGGCTACGCATAATAGGGACTCTCTATCTAATAGACATAAAAAACAAGTTTGTTTTTGATTGTCTCAAAACGATTTCGCGTTGTAATGCGTTTATCTAATTGTCACAACTTTTAAACATTGTACATTTTTATATATTATACATATTAAAGAATATGTACAGTTGTTATGGAATAAATATTTAAAACATAAATATAATATATTTTTTTACAAAAAAATTGAACATGTCTATTAACAATGTTCTTTGTCGTCGGATATCCGTATAATCAATAAATAATCCCATAATTAATTATTATGTTTGCTGTTATATTAACCATTCTGTAATATCATATATTCTCTGATATGTAATTCGATTTGGCAACATCGTAAAAATTTCGCCGGTCACGATACATCCAAGTGGGTAGATTCAGAAACGTTAATTCAATATATATTCCTAGCAGCACCAACTGGACTAATGTTTTAGGTTCCAAATTTAAAAATATTTAATAAATTAAAACATTTTTATTCACTTTTTACGATTATTCAGTGTTTAGAATAAATCTTAGGTAGTGTGTAAAGCAACAAAAAGTTATAATAACAGGAAATAGACTAATTTTGTACGTTTATAAAAGTTTTAACGATAATTTATTGTGAAATAATAATAATATTATTATTTATAAAAAAACTGTAAGTTTAAAAATTTTAGAAAAATTCTCCCAGTATAACAATGACATAGAGATCGCATAGAACAATTTTGAAAAAAATCTGATAAAAGATAACTTTTTAACATACTTGAATTTTTGAACAAAACATTTTTTTTCTCAAAAACGGCTCACCAGATTTTTTTCAAAATTTTCCATTAGTTACTTATTTGATGAGTAAGTAAGATTAATTTTTTGGTCGGGTAAGATAAACCTTAAGTAACCAAGTATTGTAATGCATTTCTTTGAAGAAAATTTACTTTTGTTTTTGTTTATTGTTAATTTATATTTTTCGACAGCTCTTAAAAATTTGTGTAAATTTTCGTCATGTTCGGTTTGGTCTTTACCATATACAGTAATATAATCCAAGTAAGCATAAGTACCTGAAAGATCTTCAGTTTTTATGATATCGTCAATTACTCGCTGAAAACAAGCCACTCCGTTTGTTACACCAAATGGAACTCTAAGAAACTCATAAAGCTTGCCATCGGCTTCGAATGCTGTATATTTTCTTTCTGCTTCAGGTAAGGGTAGTTGATGATAAGCTGTATTGTGAAACGACGTTAAATATGTCATCTATATTCGGCAATCACAGTATGTGTCGGCAATAGATATTCTAATTTGATCATACTTATAGCCCAAGAATTCTAAACTAATAAAACAATGTCCACAAATTTTTAAGAGTAAAGCTGTTGAAGCCATACTAATTTGTCCTCTACTTGGTAGTGACTCAATATTTGCTGATTCTATGAAGTTTTTACTGATAAAAGTTTCGGACCACCAGATTATTTGAAATATTACCACTGTTCAACAGTAACTATTTAACCATAACCACTGTCTTCTTTTTCTTTATTTTGGCCTCTGCCTGAGTCGCAGAGCCAGCTCATTTTGTTTCTAGTGTGTACTTTTTACGCCAGAGCGAATGTAGTGAACTAATGTAGTGAATTTGCCTAAAGAGTATTTATACTATGAACTTTGTTTCTAAGGTTTAATGTATATTGTAAATGTGTTATTTTATATGTCAATTTTCGCTAAATAAATTGTAATGAGAAATACCTTCTAAAATAAGGCTTTATTTAACGAAAATTGACATACAAAATAACACATTGACAATATACATTAAACACTAGAAACAAAGTTCATAGCATAAATACTCTTTAGGCAAATTCACTACATTAGTTCACTACACTACTACGACTTTCTGGTCAAACAGCGTCTGATTTCCAGACAGTTGAATCAATTTCTTTCAACAGATAACCTTGAGGAAATATCCACAAAATCTTTACTTCACAAATAGGACCAAAAGTCTCCAGGCTTAATTCGTATCTTAATGAACTCTTTGGCCTTATTGTAGAACATGCCGTATATTGCGCTATGTAATAAATCATTCGATATAGATTGTTGATGGTCACTTTGACATATTTTATTTAACAAAAGTTGTCTTAATTCTGGAGATACTTTATTACAAGTTTGGATCTTTATGCATCCATTGTTTAGTGGATGCCTTGCACAATGCCTCCACAGAAGGGTTCGGGACTTGTCATGGCATTATCTGAGCCTTCTCGGGCTAGTTAGTCCAACTTTTTATTGACTGATATGTTTCGTGGCCTGGTACTTAGGCTAAGGTCACTTTGTTTTGACTACTTAGTTGTGTCAAGTCTTCTAGGCAGTCTTATACCACTCGTGATTTGAATACCTTTAAAGCTGCTTGGTTATCAGAGTAGATGGCAACAGTTTTGACTGATACTTTCTGATTTATTATTTCTGTTGCATAGGGTTGTATGGCTATCAGTTCAGTCTGGAACACTGGTGCGTATTCTCCTAAACCCAAGTAAATCGTTGTTTCCGACTTGAGTTCAAAGAAGTTAGCACCGACTGTATATCATACAAGTTCAGCCAGTATGGGAAGTCCCTTTTTCCAGGATTCTCGGGCTGATATTTGAATATTTGTATGTGGTTATGGCTATATTAGTAGGCAATCCTAGAATCTCATCCTTTTTTACTTTCTGGTTGTTGTGAAAGCAATACCAAGAATAATGGTTTTATTTAACATAAAATACAATTTAAATATAATTAAAATAATCTCAAAATCGTTTCTCTTTTGACAACTATCCCTTTGGATAACACCTCATCAGGTATTGAATTACATCAAAAGAAAAAAGCAGAGATAGAAAAAATTGTCAACGAGAAAGTCATTCTTGGATCGATTTCGTCCTTATTAGAACTCTTCAGCAAAAAATAGAAAATCTCGACTCCAGTCTCTAATGGAGTCTGATGTCATTACGAAATTCACTCGAACACAATAACATCGGGTTGAGCATGTGTAGATATTTAACGAGCGAAAATGATATCGCCATCTGTACTTAGTAAGCAAAATCAAAGATCGCTGTAACATTTGCTGCAACTTTTATTGTAACCAAATTGCTCGGTTTAAAACCGGGCTATTGAATTATGGTCAAAAACGTCAACTTTTACGTATATGACAATTGCAGAACGCTCGTAATACAAAAGAGTACTCGTTTCCGCAAACCGTATTAATCAAATTAATTATCAAACCACTCCAATTTTAATTTATTATACGTTCTTTGGAAGTATTCATTGAAGCTAATGATGCATGTAATTACTTTTACTGCAAGTTATATAACTCTATTGTACAATAATTCTATACCTAGTTGTAATCTTTTTTTTATGAATTAGTTAGGACCTGTCTCTTCATGGACTGAACAGTGTCGTACCACAGATTACAACAGATACGATTTTAAAGTAAGAATTCTATGACGACTACTGATGTTTTTTTTTACATCTATGTACACAGGGTGTCCCGAAATTAAACGGTCATATTTTAACAGCGTAATCTACATCCTAAAACAGGAGTAAAAGTTCATAAAAACATAGGTCCGAAAACTATTCTTATCCGAGATACAGGGTGTTAAAAGTGAAGTCCTGATGACACACTTTTGTAAAATTAGTTTTTTTTCTTGTTGGTATTATTATTCTTATTTGTATTATGCAACATGAATAATTGGTTATTTTATCTACTTTGATATATGTGTTTGAGCTCAATTTATAGGACGTGGGTTAGGTTTTTAAATAATTCTAATATCTTTGAAAAATAAGTTGGGAACCACTATATTTAAAGCTTATACATACTCTTAACTAACTAACCATTAACAAATTATACTTAAAACATGCTTTAGATAAGGTAGGTATCAAATTCTAATTCACATAAGTTTGCACATAATTCAAATTTAAAACAATTTATTGATTATATCAATTGCACTTATCTGAGTGGTAAATAAGGTAATATACGGTATGGTAAGTCAAAGGTAAAAATCAGGCATTTTTCCTTCGCTCCAAACTGCAGAGGTACATCAATCCATAAACATTATATACCGGTCAGGCAACTTCCACCAAGTGATTCGGGATTCTATTTTCATAACGCTCATTCAAGACTACTATTCATGATTGAACCGTGAATGATCTTCAAGGTATATGATTCTTATTTGTATTCGAACTCGAACGATCTTCAAGATAAATGATTCTTATTGTATTCAAACTCAAACGATCTTCATCAAGATAAATGATTCTTATAAACAAATAATATATAATTTTATATAGAAGCTAACATGTGTCATTCATTGCAGATGTAGAGGTTATGTATAAAATTTGACAATTTGCTCGAGAAATCATTGAACAAAAAATATATTTAATAACATATTATTAACAAAACATACTTTATAAAATGAGACGGTCATTAACATAAATAAAGATAATTTAATATTTCGGATGACCCAAATAAAATTAAAATAGAAGTGACCTATTTGTCGCTGTCTGACAGATCAAATAAAAATGTCACTACCTCTGACACAAAGCATATATGACAAATGACATTTGAGTAAGAGGTGATTGTGTCCCAAATAACGAAATAACATTTTCAACCGTTACAATTATTATATTATTAGTTTCATTTTTATTATTATAAAATTTTAATAAAATTGTCTCTAAATGTTTTTTTGGACCTACTGTCCTAAAAAGCTTGCCTACCCACTTTAAGCTACCACCAAGATCATTAAAAAAAATAAATTTCTGTTACAGGCCAACAACCGAAAAAACACAAAAAGCACAAAAAACCCGACAAGAATCGGCAACAGCGGAGAGCGAGCCAGGCTGATCAACGGGGTGGTGGTGGTGGTGCCCGAGAACGATCGTTCAGCATCTGTACGGATCGTTCCAACATTTTGGAGCACCGATTAGGCAACGTGTTCGGTTCCAGCCTCTATTTCGACGAGTACTCGGATAGAGAAAGGACAAACAGTTTGAGCAGTTGCGAAACGGCCGAGAACAGAAGGAAAATGTCCACGCTGCCCAACGTGGCGTTGAGCGGGAAAGTGCCGTGGTGCGGGTGTTGGGGAAACGGGTGTTTGTGATGAACATTTTTCTTTAGGTTTAATTAATTTCTTAAATATTTATAAACGGTGTATAGTTTTATTCAAAGATATTTTTTTCCCTCGAAAATAATTTTGAAGAAACAGAGGATTTAGCCAGAATCGGACTTTATTAACACTTTATTGTCACGCTTTAACCAGGCCAGAGATAACAGAGATAAAATATCAGCCTTCCGAGGAAAACAATAAAAACCTTTTAACGTTGAAATTACTTGATATAGACTATTTTCATGCATAGAAAAGTTTCAGATCTTATAGTTTGCAATGTATTTTTAATGGTAGTTTTTCAGAAAATAAAATGGACTACCAATAAAATTGTTTTAATTCGTAATTTTTTTTATATGTCCGGAAGGCTTGCTTAATTATAAAAGTGTAAGATGACACTCGATATTTGTTGATGTTATTGTTTAAACAACGAAAAATTAATTAAGGCAAAAAATGCATTTTTTGCAATGAATTAATTTTTTTTATATTCTTTAGGATATTTCGAATAAAAAAGTCCTTACGCCCATTATCGTATCTTCAACCCTTTAATTGTTATAAATTTTTTAAAATCCAAAATTGACGAAAATTCTAATTTTCTTGAATTTAATAATATACCTTAAAATTTAAAATGCTATAATTTAAAATTTTTTACCGAATATTCAAACTATAATAAACAAAATAACCTAAATAAATTTTCAAAATTTTGTTTGTTGTTATGTTTTTTTTTACGTTATAACAATATGCTTTCTACACGCGCGTGTACTTTTAGAGAGAAGTACTTCTATCTCACTTCCAACTCAATGTATAAGATGGGTAAGAGAAAGCCCGATGACGCGCTGAATCAATTTTTTGCTGTTTTTCGAGGTAATAAGTTTAAAAAAAATATTATTAACATTTTTCATAACACTTTGTTATATTTGCCGATTAATAGTTTTGTATTATGTGATTTTTTTTACTTTTGTTAACAGAAACATTTATTTTTATTCATGAAAATATTATTGTCATATACTGCCTGATAAGTAAAATCTCCTTCAACCTATTTTTTTCAATACGATAAAAAGGCCAAATGTACTTGTCGTGATCCGTGAAAAATTTCTACCTGTTACAATGAACATAGTAGGCTTACTGGGGTTATAAAATTTTATGATTTCAAAAATATCCAAGCCTTTCTCCATTTAAGGTAGTTCACTCGCGACAGTCGTACACAAAAATATCGCCCTATAGTGAATACCAACCGTTCGAGATTCTTAAATCTAAAGAAAGGTTATTTTTGCAACAGACTGTACACAACACATGTGATCCTATATACAAATATGGTATTATATCGCGTAAAATCCATCCGGCAACGTCGTAAATATATTGTGAAACGTCAACTGTATTCCTAAAGTGAAATAAATGTAAATATCAAAATGTTTCATTGTCAGGATCAATTAAGAAAGGAAACCCCAAGATTGAAAAATAACCTGTGCAATGGTCGCATCGTGGAATTACTAGAGTTGGGAAAACATTTAAAATGTTGCTGGTGTGAAAGAGTTCTTTCTCTTGAAAATATTACAAATGAAACACGAAAGGGCCCTTATTCAATTTTAAATGTTAAATGTAATGAATGTAATATTGAAACTATAGTACCTACGGACAAAGTTCATGCAACAAAAAGTGAAGTTAAGCATAAAGATGTCAACACTAAAGCAGTTCTAGGTAAATTTAAAAAAAAATGCATAAGTATAAATAAATTTCTTGCTGTCATGAACGTTCCTACGATATCATCTATACTACAGAAAATCATTACTTTTATTTGTATTTTTTTATTACTTCCTCATACTAGTAAGTTAAAATTTTAAATTACTTTATATTCATTTTTTTTGTGTAACTGTATTTTATTTTGAAGGCATTTTTAAATAAAATTATATTTATCTTTTGCATATTTATTTAATTTTGAAGACATGTTTAAATACAATTAAATTTAAATTGGTAAATCATATCAACCTTAAGTATAAACAACGTCCCTTCCCAGAAGGCCTCGATAAAGTGATAAACTTGACCTGTCCGCGGCAATAAAAAGGTTGAGAAGCACTGATCTAACAGACATTTGAATTAGCGGGCGTTGTAATCACAATACGCCACTATGCGTCGACTACTTTAAGAACATTTTTATTTTAAAAATCTATATTTCTTTATCAAAACGGTAAAAAAATGTAGCGTTTTTTTAGAAAATTTTATAACTTCTTGATTTACATTAGTTTTTAAAAAATATGGTAAGAACCGTTTTCGAGATATCTTGAAATAAATGCATACAGCATGACAAGAGTGTTAATTATGCACATTTTGATTGTTAATATCTCGTTTTACAGACGGTCAAATTTTTTTATTTTTTTTTTAGGTACATAAAAGACACTTTCATTAACCTCATATTTCAATTTTATTCAATTCTTAAAAAAGGCCGTTTTACGAGTGAACTACCTTAACAAAAATAAGGAAAACAATTTTTTTTTTCTAATATTGAGAGTAAGTACTATAAATATGAAATGTTTTTATGATTTTCAATCTTTTGCACTATGAATACAAATGAGCAAAGGGACTTATTTCGTATTTTGAAAAAACTCTTCTTCTATTTTTTTTTTCCTGTCATAAACAATTTTTACAACCTTCCAAATAGAAAATTCAACCCTACCTTAGAATTTTTGGCTCGTTTTGAAAATTATTTTTCAGTTGTTAATCAGTCTTGCTCGATTCTACATCTACTGGTTTACTTTGCAGTCGTGTAATTTTCTGAATAATAATGTCGTTCTCTTTAATTTCAAAAAAAAATTAAATTATCTGACGACAAAAAGTGTTTATTTTGTGATCATGGCGAGGCGTTAGTGAAGTGTCCGAAACCTGTTACATATTTAAAATTAAAAAATGCAACTCTTCGTCGAAACGATAACGGGACTGTGCGATTTAATTTGTTGTTTAATGAAAATACTAGTGAACAATCTTTTTCGTGGCATCGTGCCGCGTAGGAAGCATATTGTTATAACGTAAAAAAACAACAAACAAAATTTTGAAAATTTATTTAGGTAATTTTGTTTATTATAGTTTGAATATTCGGTAAAAAATTTAAAATTATAGCATTTTAAATTTTAAGGTATATTATTTAATTCAATAAAATTAGAATTTTCGTCAATTTTGGATTTAAAAAAATTTATAACAATTAAAGGGTTGAAGATACGATGATGGGCGTAAGGACTTTTTTTATTCGAAATATCCTAAAGAATATAAAAAAAAATAATTCATTGCAAAAAATGCATTTTTTCTGGCTTAATTAATTTTTCGTTGTTTAAACAATAACATCAACAAATATCGAGTGTCATCTTACACTTTTATAATTAGGCAAGCCTTCCGGATATTAAAAAAAAAAATTACGAATTAAAACAATTTTGCAAACCAATGCGCCAGTATGCTCTGGTCTAAAAGTTACAGGCTTGCTTTTTATGTAATCTCGCCATGTGGCAATTGACCATTATTTTGTTGTTGAGATGAAAAACCGTACGAGTCACGGACATGTACGATTTTTCTCCTCATTTCACGGGTGCAATCAGCTGTGCTACTTTAACGGCTAGGTATATAATACGGTTTTAAGCTCAATCTTACTTTAAAATGTCAAATTTTGAAATTGTACGGTTTTCGAACTCACCGATTGAATTCGACAGTTAATACGCTCCAGTTGTAGGTCCGGAGTGAAGAGACGTGTACTGAGAAGTAAGATAGGTGATAAAGAGAAGGATTCTACGGCGATATACATTTTGTTATCAATGAATAAATGTGTAAGCCAGGTGCGTTTATAATAAACAACATAGAAATCCTAGTGGATGTAAGCTCTGTTGCCACATTCAACTTAACATTAACTGGATTTTGGAATTTATTGAAAATTATTAATCTAATTTAGTAAAATTACAACTAATTTAGTGTCTTATTCACTACAACACGACATTTGTTAGTAGTTACATCTCCTGTTGTCTCTGAACTAGTCATTTAGAACAAAAGTGTGATTAAAATATAATTATTGATTACTATTACCAAGAAAAAACACCCTAAAGAAAAACTAAACATTCTTACAACGTTGACAAATTTTATGGACAAATATTTTTTTTTTAACATAGTTCACGATGACTACTTTGACACATAAAAAATTATATGAGCGTAAGATATACAGGGTGTTCTGAAATTAGACGGTCATATTTTAAGAGCGTAATCTACATCTTAAAATAGGAGTAAAAGTTCATATAAACATAGGTCCGAAAACATATTTCGTTTTCGAGATACAGGGTGTTACAAGTGAAGTCCTGATGGCACATTTTTGTAAATATTTTCTAAAATTTCTTTAGTCACCGGTTTTCAAAGTTAAAAAAAAATTTCTGATTTCACAGGCCTACTAATTATTGTTTACACTTTCGAATAAGATAACATCAACTTATCATGAAATTTTCAAATGCTTTTCTCTTGAAAATGGTGCGTCCTAGCGAGATGCAACAAAAGTAGCTTTATTATAAAGAAAACATTGGTTTTCCAAATGTTATAGTCAAAAATGTTAAAAACTGTCAACAAAAAAAACTGCAATTGTACCCTAAGCCCCCCTAATTTACCCACCTATTAAGATGATCAAAAACTGGGGTTCAGTCCATTAAATAGAGCGTAAAAAGATAAGTATTTGTACCAAATTTCGCTTGGTTATCTTTGAACGTTTAGAAAATATTTACAAAAGTGTGTCATCAGGACTTCACTTTTAACACCCTGTATCTCGGAAAAGAAACGTTTTCGGACCAATGTTTATATGAACTTTTACTCCTATTTTAGGATGTACATTACACTTTTAAAATATGACCGTCTAATTTCGGGACACCCTGTATTAATAACACTGATGTTTAATTGTAAAAGAAGAAGAATTATCTTTGAACGAAACTGTACCGTACTTTGACACTAAGGTTATTTATACGATTTAATTTTTTAGTCCAAATATTTGATTTCGTGTAATTTTTATATGTATATTCGATGTATCACTTTTGCATAAAAATAATTTTTTTATATATATAAAAAAAATAGATATAAGGTATATGTGTAATTTATTCATTGTCCAAATCCAAAATCATCCGCCCTTACAAACTGGTAGAACAGTTATCACTGTCATGTCATTCTGAACATTTCTCAATGTAGCAACGTAGTAGTTTTTGAAATTCACAATTATACTAGATGTAGTACATTCTGCGTGCATCAGTGTTCACGTGTAAAATATGTATATATTGTGTTCCTTGTTTGGGTTCGTTATCAATAAAGACCCCTTTTGTTTCCTCTTCAATTAATTAGATGTCGCTGCAAATAGAATTCGAAAAATCTGATACATTTAAGGAATCTGGTACATTTTTTAGACAAATCTGGTACATAACAAAAACATTCTGGCAACACTGTATCAAATCAAACAAACTGTCATTCCGTCTTCCGTCATTCCTCTACTATGAAACGCTTTTAATAAAACTAAGATTATTTAATTTGTGCCCGTTTAAAAAAATTTGTTTAATTAAGAACTGTGACATTAATAAATTGAAAGTATGTGTGTCAATTCAACGATTGTTCCCGAAAAACTTCTTTAAGGCAAGGTAAGTAAAAGTATTTTTAAAGTTGTTGTTGTTGTTGTTTTATTTAACTATAATATAGTTTTACGAATCTAATTTGTTTTATATTTTGTTTCAGTGTCTAAGACCATTTTAAGACTACTTCAAAATGGTCTATTTTGTATCCAACTGTAAATATTATGAAGTAAGAAGTAAGCAAAAAATTTGTAAATTTTTGTTTCCCACAAAACCCGCTAAAAGGAAACATTTATTTATTCTGATATGGTAACTACTTGATATCATTATGGAAATGGAAATATATAATAAACGTTTGATAAAGATAAAGACGCAAATGGTTTTTCACTTTAAAAGTCTGAATAGGAAAAATGGATCAACCAGTTGAATTTAATATACCTACTCATAATGAGAAACTAAGAAATGGTATGTACATTTAAATAGTTCATAAGTTATTTTTGCCTGTAATTATCAATCGTGGTACCCTCTAGTTTAGATTTTGTGTTGTATACAAACCTGGTAAATTAGTTTACAGTTGGTAATAAAGTATGTCTCGAAAAGAGCAATAAGTATGAAACAAATTTTGATTAGGCACTTAACAAGTCACATCCCACATATCTACATGCTCTGGGTCATCAATCCTATAAGTACATATTAAAACAGTAATATACTTATCTACAATTAAACAATAATTTGAAAATACAGATAAAGCCGATTTACCTATTTAGACAAAATTACTATTATTGTATTATTTATTAAAACACATTATTTTTTAGTAAACTTGGACATGCAAAAGTCAGCCATGAGCGTAGGACATTAGTGAGAGCAAGAATACTTTGAAATGTGCTGTGAAATACACTTAGAAAGGGTCATATGGAGAATTAAGTGTGATAACATTTTATGAAGTGTATCTCACTATTTTAGTTCACAGATTTCTGTAAATGTTCAATTATGAGCTGCTATTTCAAACTTTTAGTATCCTTTGATAAAAGAAGTTGAATATTATTGTTGACCTTTTTAAATTGTTTATTTTACCTTATACATTTTTTTTTACTCTTCATACAGTATTCTGTGAAGAGTATTATAGGTTTACTTTGTCCCTCTGTCCGATGTAACGTTTTTTGTCTGCACGATAAGTCAAAAACGAGAAATGATATCAACTTGAAAATTTCAAGCAAAAATCAAGCTCTACAAGGGGACAAATCTGATTAAAAATAGGGGGTTAAGATGGGTTGAAATTAAAAAAAAATCCTAAATTAAAAACGAAAAGTGATATCAACATGAAATTTTTAGCAAACATCAAGCTCTAAAAGGAGAAGAAGCTCTTTACTTATAAAAAAAAAATCTGATTAAATATGGGGGATTTAAGGGAATTTGAAATAAAAAAAAAATCAAAAATCAAAAGCGATATCAACATGAAATTTTTAGTAAAAATCAAGCTCTATAAGGAGATGAGGCCTATTGATTGTGAAGACAATCTGGTTAAAAATGGGGGTTAAAGGGGTCTGTTAAACTGCGAAGAGTTTCATTTAGAATGCCAGGCATTATATATCTTTATTCTAGTTTGTATCTGTGTAATATTATGTATTGTGATGGGACTGATTTGATAAAATAAAAATTTAAAACATTTTAGTTCTTATTTTATTTGCTAATAAAAGGTATTGTACTGGATTAAAAACAGTTTTTGGTTGCTTTTAAAACAGATTCAGGTTCTTTTAAGAAAACAAAAATAGTGCGGAATATTTTCTATTAAGTGATGAGAGTAGATATATATTTTGTGGTTTTAGACAAATAAGCACCCTTTGTGCTATAAACTATAAACAGGTGAGTAATTATATACCTTAATTATTATTTTATATAAATATAAATTATTTTAGGTACATTGAAAAGCAATTACAAATCGAAGATAATCTGAAGATTTAGAGGCTTGAAGAGCTTGAAAAGCAATGAATTAAGTTTAGTAATTGCTGTAACAACCTACGGTGAGATGTAGTTTATTTCTAGAAATAAATATAGTCGATAAATAATACTAATAAAATTAGATTAATTGATATAATAAATTGTATAAAATCAAAGCAAATGATCTTATATGTCACCAATCGGGTGAAGAGACAAGTGCATAAAAAAAAATGATTAGGTATAGATAAAGTTAGTATTTAAATATTCTTAGCTGTTTTTCCAGGTCTTCTGGCTGTTGACCATTAGTTGAGTCTCCAGTTATCTTAAATCCAAAGAGATGGACTGGTTGGATTCCTCCACTAGTTTTATTTGATGTCTTTAAATTATTCAGTGTCTAGGAACCTCCGGGTTCCAGACTAGATGTAGTAAATTCAAAAATTAATCTTCAGATTGTAATTTGAATGGGAATAAGATTGAAAATCAGCATAAGAGTGATAGTCTGCTTAAGAGTGAAAGTGATAGTCTGCATAAGAGCGAAAGTCTGCATAAGAGTGAAAGGCTGCATAAGAGTGAAAGTCTGCATAAGAGTGAAAGTCTGCATAAGAGGCCTAAAAATATATTGCCAAAATTAGGATGATAAAATGTTTAATAATATTCTTTTTTTATAGGGGTTATTCCTTAAAAACTCACCTTGGATGATGGGTGGCCACAAAGGGGCTTCAACTGAAGTTAATATAAAAAAAGGTGAAAAACTCTAAATATTCGGAACTTTTATCCACAATGATGAGATTATTGTTTAGTATAAACACAAAATCTTTTAGTTCACTAAATATGAGGTTTTTCGAAGAAAATCCGCAAAATGCGGGCACGCTTCTTTCTCAGAAAATGTGCTCAATGCAAAAAAAGGCAAGAACCACTTTTTTTGCTAATATTTTGCCGCGAAGTTTTAGGAATAAATTAATTGTTTTAGTTGGTATCCTGTTTTCTTCTTTTAATTGATTTAAGAGAAATTACTGTTTTAAGAATTAATGACAAGTTAGAAATTAAGAGAAGAAATGAGGAAGAATATGACAGGGTTATAATTGTTTGTTTACAATATTTGAATATTTTTAATTATTTTTTTTATTTTAGAAATGAAATATGGGGAAACTAACCAGCCAAAATCATTGGATTCTTAACGAAAAATAGCATATAAAATGTATAATTATACAAATTATTTTATTAAATAAAGTTCATTTGTTTTGTTTTAACTCTTGAATCGCATCGAGGTATGAAAATAATTAAATTTAAATATTTATATGATTGAAAATATGATAGAATCATAAAAAAAGGTAACTAATGTAAATTTTAAATATATAGCTTAGTAAGGTACTTTTAGCCTGTAACAGTATTTAAAAAATATCTTTTTTATTTGACATATGTGACAAATTGTGAACATGATCAAACTTACAATAAAAACTGAAAAATGGTAGGTAAAGTTTCAAATAATATTTCTTACGCAAAAATCAATGTCTACATAACCTGATATATATTTAAAAATAATCTCAAATTATGAAGAAAAATCAGTTTACTAACTAATAATGTTTATAGAAGGTTTTTTAACGTATTAGAAACGAAACAAATATTACACGAACTAAAATATTCATTTATTAATAGTTGTAGTGCTTGTAAACAATATGATGTTGATAGTAATAACTAAAGTTAATACAAACTCAAATAATAACAAAAAAATACAGCGATATTGGCTCTTGTACAAAGTTTTGAACCGAACTTACAAATAATAAAATTATTGGAAAAAGTGAACACCCATTTTAAATTACCACAAGCCGCCACTGATTGTATGAATGTTTAAGAGTTAAGAGGATCAAACATTTTCAATAATTATCGTTTGTAATAAAAATGTATAAGGTTTTTTTTTCTTTAATTCTGTTTTTTTTATTGAATAGGTAAATTCATGAAGGATAAATTTATTGGGGAATATTAGAATTTTAATAAATAAAATTTCAAAACGAGAATAGAAAAGTAAATTCAAATTTAATAACAACAAACATTTTTGAAGAGAGTAAATAATTAATGCTTGCGTAACTCAAATAAAACAATAAATTACTATTGTCATTATCGCAAACACAGTGGCGCCGGGCATAATTATAATTACAAACTAAATTAAATTGTTTTTTATATCTTATCATCTCTTAAATTTTCTATTTTTCGCGATAGTGAATCAATTATATGAGTTGTGAATAAAGATATATAAATAAATAAAAAAAAAAATAAGTAACCAACATACACAATCTTATATCAATATATTAGGTTAGATGTGATCTCACGTGACATGAAAATCATGTATTCTCACCTAAATACGTTCCTGTGTAAATGCCGTTTCAAGTATCGTTTCACTGTTAACTGCAACTGGTTGGTAAATAAAGTCCCAAGTCCCAGAGGACTAAGCGAACAGCTTATCAGAATATTACTATTGTCCAATATTTACATAGAGGGTGAAGCCATACGCTCCTATTGATCTATTTTTATTATGGGGTG